TTTATTCCTCTGTCTCTTTCTGTCTCTGCCCTCATGGCTCACTCAGGCCCTAACTCTCTTCTGCTTCTCTTTCTCCAAATAAACTCTTTCATATAAGGTCTGTTGTGTGCATGTGGCATCATTTTTATATAAATACTAACATACACAATAGTTTAACTGGATGAATAATGTTCCCAAATCTGTCCACTGGCGCTTCAGAGTGTGAGGGGCTTTTTTTTTTGGCAACAAGAGTCTTTGCAGATATAGTCATTTAGGATGGGGCCTTATTAAGTCAGGATACATACTAACTCCAGTGACTGATACACTTATAAAAATGCCAAGTGAAAAGTACAGAGTACTTTTCAAAAGTACAGAGTACCCAGGGGAGGAGGCTCTGTGGCAACAGATGCAAAGATTGTCATGATGCAACTAGAAGCAAGCGATGACAATGGATGTCAGAAGGTACCTGCAACTCCTGAGCTTCAAGCCTTAGTGAGTCCTTGTACTTCAGATGCATTCCACATGCCATAAGCCATCCTCTGCTATCACCAGTATGATTTCCCCTGTCTTTCTCCCCTGTGAACAAGATAAAAGATGCCTGTCTTCCTCTCTGTGGTACACAACTTGTTCATCTGCCTCCCCAGGCTTGCTGTCTACAGTGCTGCACTCTGTTTAGGGAGCTGACTTCTGTGCACTTGCTTGATTGCTGAATCAAGCTGGGTTTGGCCAGTGGAGAGCCATCAGAGTAGGCAGAGATAGATAGAAACTCTTTGTTCAGTTGGTTTCTGCTCTGGCTGGGTCAGTTGCTCTTAGCTGGTCTCCTATCCTTTAGATGTCCCCCATCCCAAGCACTCAGCTCTCAGTAGACTCCCACTACCTTGTTCTCTGAGGACTAGGTGTAGAAATGACACAGATTACAGTCAGAAATGTGTCAGTTTGCTACCCGGTATGGATTTCCCTTATTTTGTCTGTACTTTGGTAAGTAATCACTTGGTTAATTTTTTTTATTCCAACCTCTCTCACCCTTTCTTACTAAAATCCTGATTCTTTCAGTGCTTAAAACACTTCACTAATTTTGCCCCTAATCATAACCCATGAATTAAGTGAACTTTAAATGACCACATTTTCTTAACCATTTTCTTCACACACCCAGGTTCCAAACAGTTTTCTCAAGTTTCAAGTGTCTTCAAATATTATATGTTTTTTTTAAGCTTACCCATTCTTCCCTTCTTGTCTTCCCTCCCTCCTTCTCCCCCAGCCCATGCTTTCTCTTTCTTTCCTTCTTTCCTTTGCTGCCTTTTTGACAGTGTTAATGGTGGTCAGAGTCTACACATGGTGTTTCCAGGTTCTTGGCCTCACTTAAGAATGAAATAAAAGCCCACACAAATTGAAAAGCAATAAGGAAGCTGTATTCAAAGCAAAGCAATGGTCCAGATTAAAAAGGAATATAGTGCAGAGGCTGACAGAAAGCCACACATTGAAGACACTCCAGGGCCTAAGTTACCACCTCTTTTTATGGAGTCTAAAGAAATAGAGGGGCTGGTTACTTTGATGGTGATCATTATGTTTAGAAGATAATTTATGGTGCTGAAAGGACTTGTAAAAAAAATTGTTTTTAGCTTGTAAGCCATAAGGAAGTTGTTCCCATCTTGAATGCATCCTGTCAGCTAACTTGCCCAGGATGGATGACTTCCCAGTGCGGTTAGGCTCTTCTACAAAACTGCTGATTGTTGTAAATTTTCATTGCCTCAGCTATTCTTACAAGATAATGGGTCACAGGATCCACAGGCTAACTGCTAAGTTCCTCTTTTGTATGGGCTGCTTGTTTGCTTGGATGACGGAGGCATCTGCTGGGCATCTGTGATAAATCCAAGCTCTGCCTGTGCCTAAATAGGGTATGAGTTAACCCAGCTCCCCAAAAGTATAGCTTTGTGGGCTTGGCCTTTAAATTACTTGAACTAGCAATAGCCAAGGTCTTGCCTAGAGAACGCTCTAGTTTAGTGCTGGCCGGTTTTGTTTTAATAAAAAGCCTTTCTTTTATTAAGATTAAAACTCGAGTCAGACTGGTGAATCTGAAGATCCCAGACCCATAACTAGGGGGTCTAGTTTAAGAGGTTCTCTATTTGATTGAAAGGTAGGTGACATAAAAAACTCTTTTTTTTTCAGTGTGCATGTCCCTCATGTTTCATCTTATTTTAATTATATGCACACCCAAGTGTGCACAGTCATGAGACGGTAAATAAGAGATTCTCCCTAAAAGTTCAAGTTGAAGACAATTTTGCCTCATGAACTCAAATCTGGTTTGGTCCAGATTAGGCTTTCTGGTTTCCTGCCAGGACAAAGGGGACTGTGGAACAGAATTAGTCTAGCTTTGTGGTGAAGGAGCGGAGAAACCTATTCCATTGGTCAGAGCGGTGTGTGTATGCACCCTGTGTGCAGGTTATGCCTCGGGCTGCCAAGTGTATTATCTTTACAAAGGGGTGTGTGTAGCCCAGGTGAAGTGGGGTTCCTGGCTGCTAAACTACTCTCTATGTGTGCCTGTCTCAGCTCCGAGACAGTGCCAGTGCCAGGAGACTCAGAGAGAAGTGAAATATAGTCACTTCTTCAAGGTTCTCACAGTCGGGGGGGGGGGGGAGGCATACAAGTAAACAGCCCCAAGGCAAAAGGATAAGAAAGATGTCTGCAGGTCTGCAGGGGCAGTGTCCCGCCCAGGGTGTTCTTGGTGGGGGCAGGGGACATTCCCAGGGGTACAGCGCCCTGTAGCCTCGCTCTGAGTCCTGCTTGCTTGAGTCTGCTGGCCTGCTCTCCCCTGGCACACTCACAGCTCCCAGAGTCGGTATTCACATAAGGGTGGGCTGCAGTAAGCGCTCTGCATTCATTAGCTCACTGTGAACAGCATCCCGCAGAGAGCCACTGGTGCCCTTCTCCCCATTCTACAGGCTAAGGCTTAGGGAGAGCTAGCCACAGTGCCACCACGCCACGGCCTCACAAAGCTGAAACGAAGTCCAGCATGAGCGTAATGATTCTTTTCCTCAAAGGCTAAAAACCCCCAGGACAGATCTCTGCCTCAGAGAGGCATGAAAAAACAAAAAAACAAAAAACAAAACAAAAAAAAAAAAAACCTGGTAGCTCTTTTTGAGTCTTTAATGTTGAATAGGATGCCACGTCACAGGCCAGGAAGCTGTCCTCACCTCTCTTCATTACGCTAATTGCTCTGAGGATGAAATATGACTCATTTCCCTCTCTTGTCCTCCTCCTAGTCAGAGCTCTGCCACTTTAGAATATTATCTGCAAGGAGAGGGGAAGGCTCCCCTGCCTCATTATACAGAGGTTAAAAATTGAGATCCTAGCAAGTAAAAGACTTAAGAGTTAAGACTTAAGAGTTGCCTCGTTTGCTAGGGTATCTGCTGGCTGCTCTTTGTTCCAGCCAGGCATGTCTCCTTTCACCGGAGCACTTCATTCTAGCAACTTCCTATCCCAGCCAGCCTCTTCTCCCCAACAACCATGGGGGGGGGGGGGCGTGACCTTCAGAGCCCCCTACTTCCTCCTGTCTCTCTCCCCTTTGTCCTCACTGCCCTGCTTCTCTCCTGAGATTGCTATCAGTAAGCAACTTTGTTACCTAATTAGGCCACCAAGGCCAAAACCTCCCACTGCAGGCAATATGCCCACAGTGGTGTGGTTCTGAGGCCAGGTGAGAGAAGGCCGTTGTTGGTGACTGCAGGCTGTCTGCTGTGCCCACAGCATGCCTTTTCTGCATATTTTTGGGCAGAGGTACCGACTTCCGCATAAGCTGGTATGCTACAGTCTGGAACTTCTCTCATTGTCCTCTTTTCAGCTTCACTCCCTCAATTCCCTTCACAAAGGACAACCAGACAGAACCTCACGGTTCCTTAAGCCAGACTTCTAAAGACTCTCAGAGCTTGCTAGCTTCACAGAGTTCTCAGCTTACCTCTTCCTCCTCCTCCTCCCCCTCCCCCTCCCCCTCCCCCCCCCTCCTCCTCCTAGCGACTAAACCCCTTTCTCATTTTTGGCCTTTCCCTCCTGGCTGTCTCTAACAAACAAAGGCACATTTCCTAGCCTGGCTCTGAGGTACCTGTGCCTGCACTTGCCACTGACAAAATACCTAAGAAAGACATGTCCTCCAAGACCCTACCACCTGTCCTCCTTTGTCCCTAGGATCCCTAGCTGCTGTCGCCCCTCTTCTGTTTTACCATCTAAAGCCAAGGTGCTGTTTAGGCAAGGATCTTGTATCAAACTGCTCCCTTGTGCACTGAGTGCTTCCAGCTTAGTGAATGCTGAGTATTCGATAGGGAAGGTAGGCAATTAGAACGACTGCTTCCGGTCAGGGTCTGGAGAGCCTGGCAGCTTGCATTCACTTGTTGTAGCCTCCTAATTGAGGGAGAAAGTTTTTTCGTTGAGTTAAGGAGTAACCAATTTCCAATCACTCACCTTTCTGCCTGGGTTTTCTCAGCCCCACCGTGGGATGGATACTTACTTAGATAAAGCTGATCTAAGGAAACCAAAAGGCGGAGTTACTATTTTAAATCAGGATAAAGCTGGCTACCAGAGGCCCCTTCTGGTTACTCTGGAGAGATGCTGGAGACCAGCTTGGGCCCCTAGGGTGTCTCCTGTGCTCCGCATTCCAGAGGCCTCCCAGGCCTGAGGTCACCAAGCAGCCCATTTTATTTATCTGGGGACAGTCAAACCCTTGCAAGTCCAGTTGACAGGTTTCTTGACCAGGGGAGGATCAGCTCGCTCACCCTCAGGGCTGGCAGCAAACCAGAGAGAGAGAGAAGTTTGGGCACTTGTGGCGCCCGGAGGGAGGCACGCGTCGCCCCAGCCCCGCTCTGCTCTAACCCCGAAGGCAGGAGTGTGTGAGCTGCGCGGTGCCCGGCCCCTCTTCCTCCTCCCTCCCCAGGGCAGTGTGGGCAGGGCGGGGAAAACTCGGCTCTCCGCGTATCCACGCCCAGAACCCCAAGTGCGCACCCTGTGCCGACAAGGGAGGCCAGTTCATCTCCAGGGCTCCGGGGTGGCGTGGTCCTCGCGAAGGGTGGAGGCTGCTCTTGCCTCCTGTACCCGAGTCCGGCGCAGGAGACACGACTGTGGCCCCTGCTGGCGCCACCTAAAGTGTCTGATGGTGCAATGGTTAGCGATGTTGCAGCTGCTCTGGCTGCAGCCGCCGCAGCTGCTGCTGCTGCTGGGGGTTCACCAGGGCAGCTCCCAGGATTTGACCCACACCCAGGAACCAGCCCTCGCATGGCAAGGTGAGTGTCCCTGGCGTCGGGGTAAGGGCAGACTGGCACTCGGGAGTCAGGGCGGGAAACGGGTAGGGCTTGAGCAAGAAAAGTAAGAGCAGGGCAGAGTTTGTGTTGTGATCGCTCAAGTGTACTGTCCCGGAGCAGATGGGACAGACCCCATCCATACTATTTCTTCTGCACATCCTCCTGGCCTCGGAACGAGGACACGGTGAGGGGGCAGGGTCTTGTTCTCCAGGCTTGCGGAACTAGGTAGAAATAGCTTCAAATTGCAAACTTTACAAGGCTCGCCTTTCAGATAAAGCTGGGGGAAAAAAATGTTTCCTTCCATTCCCTCCTAAAGCGAGAACTTGGCTCATCCTGGGTACCCCCTACAGATGACTCCCAAACAGGTCTGTCTGCTCCGCCCATTGAGGAGGAGGGGCGCTGTCTCCAGTCTCTCGGCAGGGTGGGCCCGATGAGATTTATACAGACACAAGCTACCTTCTGCTTCTTGGTGTCTCTAGTCTGAACAATGGATCTATGATATTCATGGAGCCACTGAAAATTAAGTCACACAGCCCAAAACACGTGCACAGACTGATAAATTCAACATTGGTTTGAGCACCAAGCACATACGGTAAGACTCAAAGCGAAATTGTTAGGAAACCCAAGGAAAGACCAACATCCTGAAGGCGTGTCCCAGAGCACATGCCTGTGTGGTGATAAAAAGCAAGGAGATGACCGTAAACTGGAGGGGAGTCTCTTGGCAGCACCCATGTACTCTGTCCTAGGAATATGTTTGAGCAAGAGGCATAAAACAAGATGTAACACAGTTCTTTTTCCTTCAACACATGCACACATTTTTAAGAATTTTTTTTTCCCCACTGGGCTGTACTTTGTAGCACTCCACAGGGGCTTTATGCCCAACAAGGCTAAACCACACCAGCATTTACTCTGGAGCAGCCACGGTCAGAAATGCTCAAGAGTGTGCACAGTTGGCCACTTTGCTTCTGAGCATCCTTTTGGATCTTAGCATCCCTTTGCGTCTTAGCATCCGGGTCCTGCCTGGGCTTAGGGGGCAGCAGCTCGTGAGACAGGCTGGGGCTGAGCCACACAAAGCTAATCCTTTCTATATTTGGCAGACCCAAATCCCGGCCTGAGATAGTGGCTAATGAAGGCTTCTTTTCCATAATCAGGGGCACTTTGAAAATTAGACTCACCACACCCCACTGTACTCTGCAGATCTGGAGTTCCACCCTGTGGGCACAGAGATTCTTCAAATGCAGGCACTGCAGTTGCTGCCCTAAGCTAAGAGTACAGCTAGTGCAGTTAGTACAGACAAGCTGTACTAACTACCGCCCAGGCTCCCTTCCCAACCCCATCAACCCGCCCAACGGAATTAAAAAAATGATTTGGAAACAGGCTTGAAATGGAGTTTTGGTTAGCAAAGAAGGAAAAACAAAACATTAGTATTGGAAAGAAAAAAAAAAGCCCTAAAACAGTGTCTACTTCTGTCTTAGGGTTTCTATTCTCGTGATAAACAACACTATGAGCAACGGCAGCTTGAGGGAGAAAGGGTTTGTTTCACCTCACAGATCATAGTCCATGATGGAGGGAGGTCAGGGCAGGAATTCAGTCAAGGCAGGAACCTGGAGACAGGAGCTGATGCGGAGGCCGTGGAAGAAGGGTGCTTTCTGAATTTTTCCCTTTCTGGATTGTTTGCTCAGCCTGCTCTCTTATAGCACCTGGGGCAGCCAGCCCAGGCAGGGGAGGCCACATCAGCAGGAAGCTGGACTTTCCCATGTCATCTATTCAGAAAATGTACTACAGGCTTGCCCACATTCAAGCATCCTCTCGGCTGACGCTACCTCTTCCCAACTGACTCTAATTTGTGTCAAACTGACATAAAACTAGCCAGCACAACTAAAGTTTACATATTCAAGCGCAGGAACCAAGGAAGAGCTACTGTTCAGCCATGTTTTGGGACACCCCCTCTTCTCCCCACCTCAGCCCCGCATTGATTTACCGTTAGCCATGACTGGCGCCCACCTAACAGTGAAGACGAAAATGCAAATCTTTTTAGTTACACACCCGCTAAGAGTCCATTTACAGCAATGCATAACAGGTTACACGTGCAATATTGTTCTGCACATTCTAGGTATGCCAGCCCTGAGAGGCAAATGAGATCATATTGTGCCTTTTTACTCATTTATCAGTAATCTTTACGGGAAACTCGGTGAATGTTTTGTCTTATGGCAATAGAGTTCCCTGGGCTTCAGGGAACAGGCTGGATATGATATTTACGAGAGCTTGAACAAGTTGCTTAGTGTCTGTGCCTCAGTTTCCTCCTTTGTAAAAGGTAGAGCCTCAGAAGGCACAAGCTGGCCTCAGCGGTGTGATCATCACAACACTTTCTTCCCACCGCTAGGACTGTGTTGGCAGTTTGGCAGCCTTTGGTCAATCATTTGCTATCCTCAGTACTACCCCTGAAAGACCCTGTCCTCCACTTCCAGCCTTTTGTGGTTGACTTTCCTCACTGGAGGCTTCTTCTAGCATGTACTGAAACTCGATGACGTCACTGTTCTGGTTAGTTCTCTGTTGCTGTGACAAAGAGACTTTGACCAAAAGCCACTTGGGAAGGAAAGGGTTTATTTGGGCTGGGAAATCAAGGCAGGGCCTTAACGCATGAACCATGGAGAACCACTGCTTGCTGGCTGGCCCACTGGCTGGCTCGTGCTCATACTCAGCTAACTTCCTTATATGGCCTAGGACTACCTGCCCAGGAAATGGGATCTCCTATTGTGGGCTAGGCTCTGCTACACTAACCCATCAAGAAAATGCCTCATGGACATGCCTGCCCACTGACTAACCCAATAAACACAATTATTCAACTGAGACTCCTTTTCCAGTTGTCAAGTTCACATACTCCAGATACTGGGAGAGCAAAGGGAGAATAGAGAGCAGAGCATCCGGGGGAAAGAAAGGCAACGTGAGTAAATACATTTTGAAGCCACACTGAAGGTTAAGAGCATAACTGGAAGGTGGCCCTGACAAGAGCGTAGCGAGAGAGTTTCCTCCAATGGTGTCAGAGGCACAAGTGTAGCAAGCTCCGTCACACCAGGGTACTCCTCTGAAAAGTTAGTGCCAAGAACAACGGGGGTGTTAGTGACCGTGAGGGCAACATCTTGACCACAGGCCCCGCCTCAAGAAAAGACGGTGAAATAAGGTGAGAGGCAGGAAGAGAAGGGAACAAGAGCTAAAGGCCTCCCTGGTTTCTGTCTGATAAATTCTACATGCTCCTTCCCCGTGCGGGTTTCGGGCTCCTCAGAAAGCAATCCCTGAGATGTCTATTTATTGCAGCGAAGGTTGTTTATTTGGGAGGCGTTTCTAGGAAGGGAGAGAGATAGCGGGGAAGGGAAGAAAGCCACTGTGAGCAACTGAGGCTGAACTTCAGAGTGGACCGGCTTAGAATTCTCAGTGGGCCCCCAGAGGGACAGAAAGCTGTAGTATTTTCCACTAACATTCCTCCCCTTATTGTCGTTCCTGAGACTTTAATTCTCAGGTGCTTCTGGCCTGCCTGAAACACCTGGGTAGAAACAGATCCTGTTGGGTGAGTAGAGCTTGTCTGCAGGTGAACAATCTCTGGATTAGAGGAGTGAGCTCAGAGCCAGCAGCAGGAGCTGCACACCCCTATATTGTGGATATTAAAACAGGAGGGCTATGACACTATCTCCAAGAAGCCAAGAGAGACAGACACAGAAACACAAACAATTGCAAAACAATAGTAGGTGTTGAGACAACAAGCCATGAGCAGAGTGATAAAGGGCTGCAGGGGAGGGACTGGCCTGAGGAGCTGGAGACCCGCCAGTGGGATCTTGTTTCCCCGAAGGATAAGTACGAAGTTGGCCTATGGGGAAAGGGAGATAAGGTACCGAGTCACACTTTCTGTGAAAGTCAGGGAACCATGTCAGCAGCTGTCAAAGGTCAGTGAGCTGAAAGGTCCTCATGAGGCTCTTTTGGCCTGGTAAGGTCACTGGAGCAAGTGTGGGACTTCTTGTAAGTGTCCCAGAATCTTGCGGAGACTCAAGAATGTTGGCTACTAGAATGAAGCACACATACTCCACCCCCAGCAAAGACATCATCTGGAAAGCTAGTGTTGAGCCAAGCCAGTCCAAGCCGGAAGCATCATGCTTGAATTTTTTAAATATATTTTTTTTTCCTTTAAAATGAATAAGTGAAAGGAGATGAGAAAAGTTCAGGAAAGGGAGGGTAACAGACAGTGGGAATTCTCAGTTTGGGAGACATATCCATTCTGGGTAGTGGTACCAAATGTGTTAGGAAGACGTGTTTGTAGGAATGGCCATGAAATTGTACAGAAAGCAAAAAAAAAGATATTTGAAGCAGAAGGAGTCAAGAAACCAGCACAATACTAGAGCCAGAGTCAAGAGTCTAATGTTCACAGAAATATTTCATACTGCAATGCACAGTATATGTGGAATATATGTGTAATTGTTTCATTTAAAAGATGCCCTTGCCCAATATATCATACTGGTTTTTTCCTACTCTATACTATTTTGTCTATTCTATCATGGTGGTTATGATACTAAATTCATTCCATGAGCTGCATTAATAAGCACAGCCTTCAGTAGACAAAGCACTGGGCTAGAGTATTGATATATGTATTTGGAAGTTAACGATTTTTAGATAAAGAGAACAAAGGAGGAATCTGCTGCTGCCAGAATCACTGTGTGGGGAGCAGTGGTCCGGGGCAGCAGGCCCCTGTGGAGGAGGAGAAGAGAGACTGCCGTCTGGTAGAGCTTCCTGGGGGAGAAGAAGGAAAGGCACCTACTGGAGGCCACGGTGGGGAAGAGTCATCGCTCTGACGTTCTCCCATAGTGCCATTTCTGATGCCCTCTTGACTGACCTTAGTAGTCTCCAACGCTGGAGAGGACTCTGTGCCAGTTGACATGCACCACTTTGACTTTATCGTTAGCCTGCGGTAGGCCACAGTGATACACAGTGATTCC